AAGTACTTTGAACATTTTTTGATGGATGGGCTGGCTTATTCCCATTGACAAGATAAATAATAAGAGCAGCTCTGTGGCTCCTCTGAGTTGCTGTGGTTGTCTGATTTTCATTGGACACAAACTTTATCATAAACTTACTCTGAGCAGCACTTGCTCTGTATTTCCTTCAAGGTTTGCTGTGCTTGATTTGCACATTATTAGTCATATTCTATTTCATATAGAAATGTTCTTTACAAAATTATTGGGTTGTACTTTTTCCACAGATGGACACCTGGGGCAATTAATTGCATTGTCCAGTTGCTCATGAAAGACAAACTCAGGTGTCTGCTAAGCTTGACTGCAGGGTGTGCCAGGGGCTGCTCTGGGGTTCTCCTGACCATTTTCCCAGCTCATATCATTGCCTCAAAATATTACAGTGAAGCCACAAAACTTCCCCTGTCAGTTTTCAGAACTACAGCTCTACAGCAAATCTATGGACAGAGAGTGTAGGAGAACCAAAGAAAAACCCACCCATAGACTTGTGTACCTCCTGCAGCTGTGACAACTGCATCTATGGGAGCATTTTCTGGAGCATTTTCTGCCTAGAGAACTAGGCAGTTCACAAAAGCAAAATGGCTTCATTTCAGTTTGTTCCTTGCTTGATCAAAAGTTATTGTCAAATTCCCATCAAGCTCACAGGTGCTGTGTGGTAGTCAGCTGTCTTCAAACTGCTTTCATTCCTTCCTAGTCTATCAGGGCTCAGAATCACAACCAAGTTGTGATGACAAAACAAGCTGCCACTTACACTGTGAGATTTTATAACCATTTAGGGACTTGCTCTTAGCCCATAGCTAATAAAAAATAAATTAACTAGGCTTTTACTTCTTTCATGACAGAATTCCTTTGAATTATGCCACATTTGCCATGGACTAAACTTTCACATGACAGTTAATATAGATCAGTTGCTAATTAGGAACTTTTCCAGCAGTAGCAATAACATTATTTGTCTTAACTCCTATATTCATCTGAAACTTCTTTCTCTGGACCAAAAGAACTCCATAACTACATCTAAGAACAGAATTTTCTTGGATGACACATAGATGTAAAAGAAAGGGGCATTACTGCTTCCTCCAGTCTCCACCACCAACTTTTGAGATAGGAAAATCTATGTTTCTCCAAAGTTCCAGGTCATGGTACTCACCTCTCAACTTCTCACATAACAACACAGCAGTAGGAATCGTCACTAAAATTATTATCCAGTGAAGTTTAATTTATATTGGCCTATTCACTGGCATTATCATTCATCAGTTCAGGTTCCACTGCACAAATAACTTTGAGAATGAAAGTTCTGAGAACACATGTTAAGTTCATCTAAAATTTCTCTCCAAGGCCAGGAGAAGATTAATGCAGTCATGAAAGCAAAGGTCTGGCGCCTCCATCAGCTCCTTTTCCAGTTGCCTGAATGCTAAAATGATCACAGAAATTTCCTCTTAAGTCTAACTGCACAACCCACACACATACACCGCTCCAACAAAGTGATGACTTGCAGCCTGTGCAGAAATACCCCTAACCTGCCTTGCAGCCAGCTGGCGTGCCCTAATCCAAGCTCTGAGGCTCGGACTTGAGCCCAGGCTGCTCTGTCTTGAGAGTCAGCAGTGCCAGCAGTGCAGAGAAAGAGGCACGTGTCCCACCTGGGCTGGAGCCTGTGTCCTCCCTGCAGCAAAGTGGCTCCAGCTAGGACAGCTTCCAGTCGGGCAGCACTCAATTTCAAAAAACATCCATGTAAAAAATGGCCACTGTGAAAATCACAAGTCTGAGGAAGTTCTGGAGATAGCTCTAACCATGCTGGAAAGGAAAAAGGGGAAACCCATGAGCTTGTTTGAAAAAGCAAAGCAGCAACTAGAATTTGATTTTTTTCCTGCTGCCTCCTGGCAGGTGACCTCAGAGGATGCATGAGTGCTGAACACTCCCTGGCAGAATTCTCACTTCAGCTCATTTAACCCAGTTTATAAACAGGCAGAAAGCCTTCCATTGTTGCTGCTCAACAATCCTACCTGCTCCCATCCCCAAAAAACCCCAAGGCATTAAAATAACCTCTGATGCAGGCACTGCAAGTGCAAGTGCAATAGCACACTCAACACATGTTTGGAGAGCTCATTAGAGGACAGTCAGCATTTTCCTTCCTTCAGCAGCTCCAAACTCCTGATGGTCCTTTTCCAAGCACTGCTGATTGAAGTTTAAGTCAAAAACAAGCAGCCACTTTACTAGCTCTTGCTTTAACTCCATACTTGTGAAAAGGTGATAAGGGCAATTTCAGTGCATTGCCCTCCTCTGCTAGTACACATTAATTGTTTTATAGAAAAGACAAAGGAAAAAAAGAGAGAAAAAGGGAGAGAGAGAGAGAGAAAGATTAAAATGCAAACTAAATAACTTATTAATATGGCAAAGCTGACATAAGGCCATCTGGTTAATGTCTGGTCCCTATTTGGATCTTGATCCTGCTGGGTACTTAGTGCTCAGGCTGTTCCCTACGGCACTCTCCAGAGCACACTTAACATTTAAGTGCTCTACTGGATCGTGGCCAGTGTGCTGAGCACCTCAAAGGAATCAGACCTTGTTTAATTTTTCTGGTTTGTAAAAAAAACTCTTTCCAGCTCTGAGTCCTGGCACCTCTAAGTGAGATTTTTCCTTCTCCACTCCACTCCAACACCCATATTTTTTATTTTGAACACTCAGTTCCGAGCAGGATTAGACCACTGGTTGCCCACAGTGGAAACTCCAGAATAGACTGCTGGCTTCTGAGGAAACTCCAGGGGACAATATTTTCACTTGAGCTGAGGTCCTACCTGGAGTTATTCAAAACTCCTTTTGCTCAGACTGTGAAAAACTTCAGCTATAGAGCAGAAAGGAGAGTGTGTAATAAATTCTCAGGCATACTCGGCATATGCTCCAAAGGGGCAATAAGCTGTTAAATCAAATCAAAGAAATCCCTAGTAAACCAGAATTCGTGGTGTGTCTGACAGCACACACTGCATAAAATATTTCTAGTCGATAACTCCAAATGTGGCTGTCAACATGATGTGCAACCCCCGTGCACTCAACTTCCATCTCTTTCCAATAATAGTGAATCTATGTGAAGAACTGCTATAAATTACAATTACTAAGTAAATTTTCAAATCTTATAGCAGATTTCTAACTAGTCTGAAGAACATCGTAAGAAAGGAATGATGAAGCAAGCAGAGACACTTTTGCTGTCATGGCAAATCTGCTCAAGGTTTTAGTTCCAGGGTCAGGCTGTGTAATTCCTCTGCCAGCTGATCCTTAATGCTTTAATCCTTGAGGTGTACACACTCACTCACTGTGGTGTGGTCTCGCCTGTGTTCTGCACCCACTTTTGCATCCCTGCCTGCGTGTATTTGTGGGGGGTGTGTTTTTCACCTGCAGTGCATCAGCTGTGGTGCTGAAGTGCAGACACCCAGCATTTTAGCCATGTGGAAAAACACACTCTCTAGGAACACCCCTTCTGCTCACCTGCCCCTGCTCACTCTCTGCTTCCACTACAACAAAGTTTTACCAGCATTGCCAACATCCATCTGTCTTCAAATAGCTGATATATTCTCTAAACAGCCAGCCAGAAAGAGAAACAAAAATAAAGGAAATATGTACCTCTTTTCCTCAGTTATAAGATTAGCCTAGGGCCTGAAAAAGGCAAAAGCATGGTCTTGGATCATTGATTGGATTGAGTCGGCATATGTCCATACCCTCTGAGACTAGAATCATTCTTCACTGGACCAGAGCACTATGCCTCATAGGGCCCAAGACAGCAGCTTTAAAATTGCCTTGTAATTGAGTATGGGAAAATCTCTGGCTTTTTGTTTTTATTGCTACGCTTTTCTTATACCCCTAACTCTCTGAGTGAGTCTAGTGAGAAAGAAGCAATTCCATCACTGAAATGTAGCTATCTTAGGGTTATAAAATGATGTTTTCTGCCTGAACTGCAATCAGAACATGGCTAGGGAGCACAGCACTCTGCATGGGCACAGGTGGGCAGCAAGGTATTCATGGTAAACAGTAATTTTCAGAGTAGCTGGTACAAAGGACAGCAAACAGGATGTTTTTGTGTCTGACTCACACCTCCAGTGAATAATAATTATAATAATAATTATAATTATAATACACAACAACATTTTCACAGCACATAAAAACAGACACTGGTGGCATAAGCACAGGTGGCATAAGCAGCAGACTAAAATTTCATGATCACTGTAAACAGAGCTGGGTGTATGCTAGCATTTGTCCAGAATACTGGACTCAGCCCTGTAGTCCTATCAATAAACGGATTCTCATGGGAATTCCTGGTAGGTCTTTTGCACCCAAGCCCCCAGCCAGGTGTTGGTGGGGCAGACAGTAAGGGGCATCTTCATCATTTAGAGCTTGCATGTATCCTGTGTGGGTGACATTGTCAGATTTCACTGCCTCCCCTTTACAGCACATGTTTTTCCCCATGAGCCATAACCCATCCCTAAGTTACCAACTTACATCCTATAAGACATAAATTGCCTTCTCAGATGTTAGGAGGCCTTGGGAAAAACACTTGTCCATGGGACCATCTGAAGAGCACTGCCTGCAATTGCATCAGCTGGCAAAGGAGAGAGTTACTGCAGTCTTGGCCTTATTGCCACAAAAGTCTTTCTGAAACACCATCTTTTATCAAATACCTTGAATTTTCTGTCTCCCTGATCCAGAACGTTCTATTAGCAATTTTCTTCTGTCTTGCCAGTGCCAAAGAAAGCTCTGCCAGTGAAACCATTGGTGCTGGGATCAGTACCAGCTGTTAAATGAAAAACAGGGAGCTGAAAAGCTTTGCTGCAACAGAGTGTTGCAAGAGGAAATAACTATCAGATAACCATCTTGCAGGACTCCATGAAACCTGTGACATTGCCATGTGGCTGGTGTCCTCCTCAGGCTTCCCACCTGAGTTTGTACAAGTGTGAGAGGCACTGGGAATATATACTTTCAAATGTCATATATTATTGAGTTTTTATGTTGAAATGTCTGTGATAAAACTGGTAACATAGATTCTTTTAAACTTGGTAATAGAAGAGGTTTTTTGTCCTATCCTCTGCATTGTACAACACAGGCATCCCAAATTTTGCCTGACTGCCAGGCGCAGTTCTGCTTTCATGTCAAATAATTAGCAAAATCTTAGACTAACCTAATATTTATATATTGTAATTAGATATGTCTTTGACTTATGTATATTTCTGTTTAAAGGAACAGACTTTGGGAATGGGCAATTAATGGATTAAGCATATTCAGAGTCACAATTATGTACAGAAAGTAAAAACTTCTTTTTTCCTTTGTCTATTTGTGTCCAACAGATTTTTCAGATGTGATGCCTATTTAGCATTTAGGGATTTTTCTTAAGTCCTTTTACTGGAATACATTCATGATTTACAGTCCTGCTCAAGTAATATTGCTGATTAAATTAACATTACCTGATGAGTGAAACTAGTAAGGTATTTTGTCCAAATTAAATCCGCTCCTTTAAGGAGAAGCAAATTGGCCATTAGAAACTCACCCCAGTTCTTAAAATGAAAGCTACTGTCCAAATATGAATCTAGCAGTTACTTTTGAAGTTACATTTGTGAAGAACATCTGTTAATATAAAAATATCTTGATACATTACAGAGGTTTAGCTATAGTTAGTTCAGAAGTACTTGGTTAACATCTAAGGGAGGAAGGAGAATAAATGTCTTGCATTTGGCAATCAGTAAGCCAGGGCTTTTACCCATTGCTTGGCTTTGTTTGGGTTTAAACAATGTTCCTCTGTTTTTGCTCAAGCTGCAGTAATCCTTTAGCCCTTGATGTCATGCATCCTGGGTTTTTGATACTCTTTATAATAATCTTTGAACCCTCAGCCCACATCATATGTTATGAATATTCTTATTTTGGAGTAGAGAGGCAGGCAATCATTTCAGACAGCAGGAACCCTACCCCTAACATTTCCCTTTGCGTCAAAGACATGGAGCAACATCAAGCAGATGAAGTAAAATAAAAACAAGTTTGAAAGATGGTTTGGGATGAGAAAAAGAAAAATGGGAAAGGATCAGCAGAAAAGATTGCTTTTAAGTGTCAGAATTTCACTTCTTTTGAGGAGTAATCCAAACTATACCTAGAAAAGCCTCTTTGAGGCAACAGTTGGTTCAAGGTGTAAGCATGGTTGGGCTCACAGTGAAGGGTTGGAACACGGTTGGGGGTTGGAACTAAATGGTCTTAAAAGTCTCTCCAACACAAACTATTGTAACATTCTATGGTTCTGTGATTCTATTGACAGGCTGTTGCCAGAAATTGGTTCTGGAGAATATAGAAAATGGTAGCATTACAGACAATCAACTCAGGGCCTTCTTTCCAGGTGAAAATGGCTTCAGCAATATTATCAATACTATAGCTTATAGCAATGCATCAGCAACGTCAGCAATATAAGCAATTACTTTCTTCTTCTTCTTCTTCTTCTTCTTCTTCTTCTTCTTCTTGCCATGTGACTTGGAGTGTTTGTTATTCATGTCCTCCTCAGTAAGTAACGCATCTTCCAGACTCCAATTTTTTTTATTTTTGGCCTTCTTGGTTTAACTTTTAAAGAAATATGACTCTGAGGCACACTGAGTGGCTTCCTTAGGGAACTGGTCTGTAAATCTTTGGAATTAGGACAAATAACAGCTTGTCTATGGTACTGTTTAATGCAAGAAGCAATACAGGCTTTTCTTGGAGGACCTAATAGGAGAATCTTGTCAGAAGTCACCTTTGACAATTAGACTGAAAACCAAGGAGGGAAATAGAGCTTGCCCAAAGATCAAAGAGCCACCCGAGAAAAACTGTGTTTGTGAATTCAGCACAGAGCCCATCTCCCCCCTCACCCAGCTCCAGACACTGTTTCCAGTGTACATACAGCCCTGGCTCACGGCTATCGCAGTGGGCCCTGCAAAGCAAGCTCAGTCCCCTCCTGCCAGTTTACTAGTGGAGGAGGTTTTTCCGCCAGGCAAGTTCATTTGTCAAGGTGACCTTCAGAGGCTGCACGAGCACTCCTGCAGATAAAGAAAGCCGCCTCAGCGCTTTTGTAAAACCCAGCTCGGTGGCCCAGGGGCCTCCTGCCACTAAACCAGACTAAACCCTTCCTACCAGCACTCCAAGGATTTCTCTGTCCCACAGTTTCCGTCCATCAACGGTGTACATTTTGCAATCCTTTTATCATGTTCTGTAAACCCTCTCCTCTTGCCTGACTGGTTTTATTGTCTAAATGGTCTTGAGGTTAAGTATTCTCTTTTTAAAAATCCCTATTCTGTAAATTAATTGTCTCCTAGGCAGAGATAAGACCCCAATTAAATCTTAATCGATCACAAATGTAGGTAGGACATTTCACAGATCCTCTGCCAAAGTCCAGACAGAAGAAGCAGATCTTCAGAGATCTCCTAAGAGAAGGTTTAATCTTCTGTAGCATCTGAGGAGTTGCTGTCAAGTCTGGATTGCTTGGCCATGAAATCCTATTTTCTTTCTATCTATATAGTTACTTTCAAATACATCACTTATTAAATTTTAGCATATTGCCATTTTCATACCACAGAAAACAAGCCAGATTTAGAGCATGTGTGCCTAATGTATCCCAGTGTTAATATAAAATCTAGCTTGGAGAAGAGCCTCTGGTTTTTACTCACTACAGCTGGAACAGATCAATATATAGAGACTCTGGAAAGAGCAGTCATGTTTCAGAAGAAACCACCACACAGTTATAATCATGCCAGTTGAATTTCTGTGGAATAATTAATCCAATGATAATTATTCCAGTTCCTTCCTTTTAGTTTTATTTTCATGCCTGCCATATGACATCAGTTAGACAAGTCCTTAAAGCTATTCCCCAGCAGCCATGACCTGTTAAAACAGGAGACTGTATTCAGAAGTGGAACCAAAATAAAAGGAACATTTCTTTTTCAAGGGGAAAAAAAAGTTTGCGTTGATCAGAATAATCTACAAGAGCATGTTTTGAGCCAAGGAAAAAATTGGCAAAAATCAGAAAAAGCTGAAACATTTCATTGCAACATCTTCCAAATTAACTGCTTTCTTTCTAATTTATGTGGATTTAACTTTTAACAGAAAAGTAAAACAAGTCTCTGAGATCAAACTGTTTATTGTTCTTCTGAAGTTCTATTGGAAAAGAAAATGGCTTTTTTTCAGATTAACTTTAAATGAAGACTTTGTTCAATTACATGTTTCATCAAAGCTCTGAAAAAATCAGTTATTTACACAGCTAATTGTTTATGACTGCTGTAACATTTAAATTTAGAAAAAGAATAGCATGAAACCACGTGTCAGTATTTATCAGATGTATGGCATTCAGTATATATGCTGAAATACTCCATCATTATGTCCCATATATGGAATTGGTTGAGAATTACTTTTCTACAAACCATAAGACAGAAAACTCAAATATAAATAAAGATGCCAGGGCAGGCAGATCCTCGGAGGGACACTTGTGTATATATGAGTTCACCACTCTTTATTTTTCATAGGACAGATATGATTAGGGCTCACCACCATGCAGGTCCTAAAGGAATGAGGCTAAAAAATTATGTTTAGACATATTTACACACTTCTATAGCAATATTTTAAACCTAAATGTTTGTTTAAAATTTAGCTCAAGAAAATACTGTATTTTTGGTGGTTAAATATGTTAAGTATGACACTGTAGCTAGAGGGTCACACTTCCCTTAATTTTAATTGTACCTAATTCTCAGTGAGCAGTTATCCATTTGCAGCATTTATTAGCTGTCTGAGTCCCTCACTGTTTTCTCCCTTTATGAAGAGCAAGAGACACCTCTTAACCGTGGGTGAGTGAATTGCTCTTTGGAGGTGACTTTCTGCTGGCTTTGGCAAGCAGCATCCTAACTCACACATCCTGGTTCACACAACATGAAATGAGAGGATGCAGCACTTCTTGAAGCATGGGGAGTGTTTTAATTGCCAACAGCAGCCAGAGGGAAGATACATTCATTGTAAATTGCTGCATGTAAGCCGACCTCCATTTCCTTGTCTCCCTTCCCAAAAACGTTTTTCTCTACCCCACAGGCAGATAGCTACAAGGAACGGGGGTTGAAAATTTTATATTTGCAAAATGCAACCAAACATCACCTTAGTTTCCAGGAAAACCTAAGTCACTGTTACTGATGATTGTATAAATTTCATCAGACAGCAATCTTGGGAAAAGGCAATCCTAAAACTATATTTATATGACACAAGGAGAATAACAGTGAGGACAGCGAGAAGTGAGAAGAGAGACAGCATCCCTGAATGAAGCAGAGAGGGCAGTCTCATGACTATTCAGCCTAGAGGCTGCCTTTGAATACCTGTAGAAAGTAACACTGTAGAGGTATTTAGTTGGGATGATATGGACTAGCATCGTTTTATAATTCCAGGCAAAGCAGTAGGAGCTTCCAAGCAGTTTCTGGTCACTACCACCATCAGCTGAATTTGTAGCATGAGCAGCCCCACAGTCCTAAGCCGCATTCCCTCTTTCTTGGAGTTTGTCCTTTAAAGCATGACCTAATAGACCTATATGTCCCTAAACAGACCTACAGACAATGGTAAATGACTAGAAGTTTTCAAAATTTTCAAGGGTTTATGCAATCATAAAAGTTTTCCCAGAAGAGAAAAAGGTGACGTTAAGTCCAGTTTGAAACACAGAGCAAATTTAACTTCAAGATGAACTGTAAAACCAAATCACTTCTGGTTTTGCTCTTTTCTGCCCCTTAGGAAATCTGTGTCTGATTCAGGAAGTCCTTTCCCTTCTCTCTCCTTTGTTTCAGTTTTTGTTTTTTTTCTTCCCCTGATTAAATAGCAGGCTTTCTTTTTCCTTTATTCTGCTGTAGCGTTTTAGCCATGTCTGTGGAGGAAGTTTAGGATATCAAAAAGCTTATAACCAGAAAGTTAGCTTTTCCTCCTTTATTTCAGGCTGGAGGAATGATGACAGGAATGCTGTAAATTTGACATACCCATTTAAGCATTTCAGTGCATAAACAAAGGTTTGGTGGAGGGAGTAAAGTTTGACGAACTCATATGTTTTCCATGCTCAAGAGTTATGTCTTAGGGCTCCTTTGACAGCATTAACTGCCTGTGGCAGGGAGCATTTTGCACTGTGTATTTCTTCATCCCCCAGCTGCAGCTCAAAACCATACCTAAATTTCAAGACTTTACTTATCATGTGGCCACAACCCAATTCTGGGCCTATTCATATAAACCTGGTAAATGCTATTTCAGTATTCATCTAGGCCCCCCACTGATCATCCTGCTGTAAGAAAAGCAAGAAAGGCCTCCCCATAAATATTTGATTTCTTAACAGCTCTACTCTGGCTCCCTTTTCCTTTCTCTTTGCAGACTATGCTTCTCCTCTGGGTGGAGAGAGAGCAGAAAGAGCTCCTCATTAATTTGCATCTGTCCATTTATGAGTTTCTGCTAATGGCAGTCTCATATCCCTTTAGAAGGAAACACATAGGCTGGCTCTGTCTTTTTCTGAGCCACCCCACAGGGACTCTTCTGAATTACAGAGCAGCTTAGTGCTGATTACTTTTTTATTTCTCTTCTTAGGAAACGGATAAAAGGTTTAAGTTCTGACACAAACAGGAAAACATACTAAGAGGATTTATCCTGAAGGCATCTGCTCTTTAAATAGTGATGGAGCAGTGTCAGTCGGTTTCCCAGAAGGGCCAGAAGCTCCACCACTCTTTGTTCCCGCAGCCCTTGTGTGACTAGAGGCAGAATATCCTGTCACAGGCTGTCAGATAGCTCCCAGAATATGCAACTTGGTGATTATAGGCTGAGGAGGGACTCATTGCCACTAGGAGCATGAACAAGTCGGGTGTAAGGAAGACTCTGCACTGGTCCTTTAAGGATAACAGCAAGGCTCTATTCTGCTCTGAGGTAAGACTTTGTAGAATTTACTAAATCAGTAATTTCTCAGCCTTTCAGACCGTGTTCCCTCCCTCTTGCTTTCTTAAACAAGGAGCAACAGGAGGGGGAGTGAGCTGTCAGAATTATCACTAGTGGAATTTTCCAGCTTTACCAGGCAGGAAAGGGGGACAAAAAAAATTCTCCTCTGTAGAAAAACAACTGGACACAGTGCAAGTGTAAGCAACTTCAGAAGGGGCATATGCATGGTTTGATATATGAAAATATGCCTCAAAAATCTATGACTATAAACATTCTCAAGGTTTTATTAATAAGATGTGCATCTAGAAAGTTATACTCTGTTCTAATATTTTCTTTTTCTTTGTAATAAAATGTGTCCCCCTGGAATAATATTCCAGAGAGGGAAGAACCTTCACTTCAAATTGGATTGTTCACAATTTTTCCTGGTTTTGCTCTCATTTGATTTGAGGTCAGAAATTTGCCTTTTTTTCAACTTTTGCCTTCTGATGTGTAGATGTTTATGGTAATTACGGGGATTTCAGCTCAGTGTCATGGCCAGACTCTAACTTGCACAAGAAGAGCTTTATGCAAACCCAGCTATAAGGAAAGAAGAAACTTATGACTTGTTCCATGGGAGGAAAGCCAGGTCTGTCAATTTAAGTGATGCATTCATAGAGATTACACGGGTAAATGAGCTAAAGGGCTTCTACAGTCACAGATACATTATCCTAATCCTCATTTTTCAAATTGTGCTCAAATCTGGCTTGGTCCTGTACACTTGGCAGACAAGGATTTGCAGACAGTGCATCTCCTTCTAATGGCTGCTTTCAGTTTGAAAGTGCTTCTAACTGATAACCAGGTAAAGATCCAGCACGTCAGGTGGGGAAGAGCAGCTAAAATTGTTTACCTAATAATAAAAACTGGAGAAATTCAAGGGGCTTGGAACCTAGGACTTGTCCACATAGTTTTAAGGAAACTGGAAGCTTGTTTATGTAGCCTAAATAAATAGAAACAATAGACCATCTACCCAACACTCACAAATAGGCTCTCTCCTCTGTTGCACAAGGATTGCAGGGGATTTCTCTCCTACTGGCTGGCGGGCATGGTGCTTACAGCTCTGCACCTCGAGAGTAAACATCAGGAGTGCTTAAGGGGTTTCTTTTAGCTGTTCTTGCTCTGTGACAGTTTTCTCACATACCGAAATGGCCAGCACAACCTTTCTGGTTCCAAAGTCCCCCTGCAGCAAAATATCATGAGCCAGGGTCATGACCATCAGCAGAAATAACACTCCTTGCCTTGGGGAAAATTTTTCAAGGATTTCTTACCCTGTTATTCCCTCTGTAGGGATAGCATGAGGCCTGTACAGGGGGTCAAAGGGAAGTCTGAAATGGCATCAGATGCTGTAGAGCAGCACAAAATTATGACCATGGTCAAGATGATGAGTACATAATTGATTTTAATTGACTTTGATCAGGATGAAAGAGCAACTATTTTCTTCTTCCCTTGTCAAATATGAAGTCTCACTGAAAGGAAATCCCAGCAGCTTATATCTCTGGAGATTTGACTTTTGCTCTCTAGATTCTTGATTGATTTGTTTGGAAAAGTTAGTCAAATCAGTGGCAGCACGAGCATCAATAGAGTTTCTTCAGTAAGTACAATGTCATTACAAGTCCCAGCAGTGCTCTGTCAGGATGGGAGATAGAGTTTACTGGCATAAATGATTGTCCAAGCTCCTTTTTCTGATTTTGTGACCAATTTTTCTTATTAGTGGAAGAAATCCCATCACTGGGTTTTCTCTTGTTTGTTCCCAGTGAAGGTGATCATGAAAAGGAAGCTCACTCTTAGATGTTAGGGCTTTTTAAGGCAGGGCTTTACAGGAAAATTGTAAAGTGATTCCTAATTCAGAAAGTCTCTGTGAAGCACAGAAATGTAGGTGTTTCTAGATAGCTACAAGTTCTCTGCTGCTGAGGTTTTAAGATAATGATCAAATTCTGATGAAAATTAACATAGCAACTCTAAGCAGTATTGTATTTTCTTCAACTCTTTTAATTACTTCTTACTAGAAAGTCTGTCCAAATGCATTATTTTGGAAAACCTTAGGTGGTGAGCAGTGTGTAAGTTATCATAATGATACAGCAGTCTCCTAATGTGACAGATCTTCCTCCCACCCAAATGATTCCAACTTCTTTGAAGAAAGTCTGTTCCATTTCTTATTTTTAATTATGCTTTCATTTAGCAACTGATTTATGTTGATCCCCTGCTTTGTGTTGTATAAAACGTTCCATTTTATGTGTTATCTAGACTTTTTCACGATGGCTTTTAGGAGATTACTAAAATGTTCCCTCCCTTTGTTGACATCTTTGTTGTGTATTCATACATTTATTTATATGTGGGTACAAATCCATATAAATGTAATCTCCCTTTTAGGACACTGTGAATATATATCAGAAAGGAAAAGGAGGTTAACAGTAGAATACAATACAAACAGGCTGGCTTTATGGCAGTCTTGCAGAAACTCCTGCTAAGCAAAAGAATAAATAACAGCTGTGTTAATCAAAGAGAAATTTAAAAGATAATGCTTGAATTTAGGTGGTCAAAGTCCCAGGAAACTGGGCAAGATTAATGCCCACAGAAAAAAGAACTCCAAGGACAAAGGGTGTAATAATATATAGTTAAGTTGAAGGCAAATTTTCAAAATTTCTTCTGTGACTTAAAGGCCTAAGTCAAAACTGACTTTGAGAGTAGGAGTGTTTACTTTCCTGTAAGTCCATAGGTTTGTGCTCTGGAGTCCTTCTGTCTTTCCTGAAAATAGGAGCTAGGTGACTGCCTTCCTTAGTCCCTTTTTGGAAGAATAATCTTCAGGTAGTCACCTGAAAATAAAAAAAAAAACGTTCTAGTCCAAGCAGAGGTTGAATATCAACCCAGGCTACTGACTCAAACCAAAGAACTAGAGATACAAGCACGATTATTCCCTATTTTACTGGAAAGCCATATGTCATCTGGTTTGGATCAAACTCACAGAGATGTGTTAGCCTGTTCAAGATCCTGTGGAAGCATTTTGAATCAATTGTAACTGACGTAAATATAGCCCTTGACTGGAAATCATCCAAAGAGAGAAAGAGAGAGAGCTGCAGAGGTTCAGCCAAGATGCATTATATCAAAAGCATGGATAAGTAATTTGGTGTCCTTATGGGAAAGATAGCATTACAGTTTCACAACATTCATAAAGTGCCTGCACAGTGAAAGATCTAACACAATCATTATAAGATGGATGAATGCCCAATGAATTTTCACCTCCTATCATGGATCATGGCTCTCTTATCTAGGCAGGTGTGGGAAGAGGAGCATGAACCCACAATGACAGAGGGCACAACAACACCTTAGTTGTACTCCTTTGACACGAGTATCTGAGCTTCCAGACATGATTTACTATGTTTGCATAGCAATATTAATTACCTTTTAGTGGCTATCTAGCCAAGAATATGTACAGGATTGCAAAGCTCAGATAGAAACTCCAGCCAAGCTCTGTAGGATTTACAGAAGCAGTCCTTTTACTCACAGTATACCATACCTTTAAGTCACGAACTAGTTGCTTGTATTTTTAACCCTCTTCTGTAACAAAATATCTGTGTTATTTTGGAGATCTCATTTCACCTGCCTCCATAATTTTTATTTGATGTCTTTGGAGTTGTGATATGATGAATTAGCTCTTGCCTACATGATTAATGAAGGGCTACAGGGAGTGGTTGAGGTGTTTTGATAATTAACAAATTCTGCTGTTATCTACCGCATGATGATTTGATATGTGGGTTCAGACTCTGGGCTGTGACTGGCAAGAAGTACTAAACACAGCTTAAATAGGTAATTTTCTAAAGTCCTCTTTCCATTGTCCTAGCACAACCTGGTGCAAACCCCAGAGAGCTTACAAAAAGCCAGTACAAAACAGTAAATGACCAAGAGTAATCCCTTCCTGTAATACATTATGTCTACAAAAGGTGTTGAGGAAATTTCTAGTGCAGTTCTGAGCCATCTAAGGTTTCTACTTGCCAGGAGAACATGAATGGGCATTTTGTGCCTATGTTAAGATCCTTCAAACTAAGGTACTACCATGCCTCTATGTCTTCTGAGTCTTAAGTCTTTCTCTCAACAAGAACTTTTTTTTTCTGAGAGATTTTCAAGAGCTACATCTTACTACCCTAGCATCAATACTAAAAAAAAAAAGTTAAGAAAGACAAACTCTAAACACAGGAGTCATTTGGCTGACTTCAACAGGGCTGCTTGTTGGATTCAGAATTACTTGCTTCACTGAGGTACTAAAGACAGAGGCATCATATTTTCTAAATATTAATAGCCTCTGTAGTTCTAAGAGCTTCAGGAGCTGCAGTATATTTGAAAACCTAGCTTTGAAATACGTGGCATGTTATAGCTTTCCTCAGAGTCCTCATGGATGAAATATTTGAGACAAACCTCAAAAATCATGTAAGCAGGAAAACAAAATGGTAGTTGAAAAAACTGGAAAGCTGCTGTGCATCATATATTAGTTTTCCCATTCAATGTGATTTTTCTTGTCCTGGTATTTGTCTTTTTTATGGATATTATGAAGAAGTGTGTCCTAGTCTAACATTTCCAGCTCTCACTGGAGTCCTAGTGGTTTGGAGGCACCACAGATTCATTTCCCTGCTTACATAGAAAGGTTATGTCTTTCACAGGCATGTAGTACAAACATTTGGACACAATTAGAAAACTATCACTTAAGATAGTTGTTGCCTTGACAATTATCATGAAGATGTTCTTTCCATCTCTTTACCATAAGCCTAGAAATTAATTTAAGATCACAGAAAGCCTTTTTATACTCCACTGATTGGAACTGTACAGACAAAAATATAAGAAAATGCATTGGTTTCTTTCTCTTGACTTCTTCGTTCCTCTATTGAAGACCTGAGAATATAACAAACTAATTTTTATTTTGCAGTCCATTGTTTCCTCTTAAACTGGGAATTTTTGCTCTTTAG